GTGTTTAATTTCAATTCGTATTTTATTTCACCTACCTATCATGTCTCACTTGCTTTTGGCGTCCTACCTATTTAGCGATTACACTTACGATGAAAGAGCCGGTCGGTGTTTATAATGCAATACCCTGCACGGTGAACAGCTTGCGAGTTTTGCAGCGGTGCGATTGCTGGGGCTTATCGCTGACTGAAAAGGGTAAATACAGTAAATACAGATGGCTGTGTTGGATCCCTTTGCTTTTGCCCAGCATTCAGCGTTGGAATTGTGGCTTTACCGTCCCTCTTATTAAAGTTATCTAACTTTTTGTAGCTTCGTCAGGTTAGACACGACGCGCGCGGCGGTATCCATCTGGCGGCCGCTGGCGGAACTACCGCGCACGGCCCGCTTGCCGCACGGGCCTGGCGGCCGCCAGTGGAACTACTGCGCAGGTGGCAGCACCTACCCGTGGAGAAGCGGCTGGCAATCGGCCGCCCCACTCCCCACCCCGCCCCCACCCAGCTGGCCGCCAGACCGTGGGAACGACTCGGCTCAGCACTGCCGCACGCGCATTCAGCGGCGGCTTGTCGATTTTTCGAGTGTCGGCTGCCGATCTCCCGAGAGCCGGCCACCTGTCAGCCGCCGCTCGGCTCTGTGTTAAGCATATGGGGACGGCGAATTTCTCCCGGAGGGAAGCACCTCGCTCACAAAAGCACGTGAATCAGCCGCATTCCTGTGTGGCGCGCAATGCTGAAGAGATATGTGTTTCCGCGGGTATCTCGCAAGCCCTAAGAGAAAAAGCTCGCTGCAAAAACTCAGCGCTTCAAAAAACCCGCAATCCTACTCAAATGGATATTTAAATAAGTTGTTTTTAGTTGAAACATATAGCCAAAAGCACATTGCAATGGGCTATAGATTCTCAAGCTCATGAAGCATCATAGGCTAAGTGGTTGTGTATCTGGCTTTAGGCCGAAGGCCTGAAGCCTGATGCGCATCGCATGCCTACACAAGCCCTTGCAAGGGGTTAAGAAAGATGGGTAGGTTAGGTAAGGTAGGTACCTACATCAACAGAAAACATAAACAACGAACCAGAATAGAAGCACTAGCAGTGTAGAATAGACATCTAATGCCAAATCCTGAAGCATGGTTGTGGGACAGAACAACAGACCCTGATGCTTTTCATTATCAATGTTAGGTATGGAAAATGAAACTGAAGTTGATGGACAAACAGTGATTGTCTAGTCAAAACTCTTGCTTCTTTCTTACCCTGCATATTTTCTGGGGTGTGATATGCCAGGCTTGAAGCAACCTTCTGAGCAAGTCTCCAACTAATTTGATATGCAAGGCATCAAAACACTAGTGAGCATCCAAGAAAGAAAAACATTCATCTATTTTGATTTTTCCAAATAATGATCTTCGCTCAAATCCCCAAGGACGTGCGATTGCTCTTTCAATCAAAAATTTTACTTGAGTCAAATGACGTAAAAAGCAAAGAAGTGGCAATAAATTGTTTTGTGTCACCATAAACAGCCATAGAAATCATAATTAATCAATAATAATGCTATACAGTTAAAAATTTGCTCTCAAACAAATATCAATTATCAAATTTTTACATTTTTAGAGGAAGACGTCATTATATTAGTAAAATCAACAGCTCGCGTAAGAAATATTGTGTTCAGGGTTTTCACCGTCATGTGAATTACGTGTTCAGGGTTTCCACCATCATGTGAATTAACCGTAAATAAGGTTCATACTCACTTATAATCTAATTCCATTGGCTTCGTTGATCAGCATTTTCTGTTAGCGGTCACTCACACGCCAGTTAGAACATAAAGCGCCAGTTTTATATTATGTAATTGGACTTGCCGAAAATCCAGAAGTACATCTAAGAGTTATTTTAGATAATATTTTATGAAGCCTTTACCTGCCTTTACCTAGGCGTGATTTCTTTTTCTATTACCTGAAAGAATTATTGAACGCTCATCTTCAATAGCTGTAAGGTGCTCTCCTAATGACCAGGTAAGATTGAGATTGATTTGAGGGGGATGTGACAGCAACATGTTGCATTTTCTGAAACTGTCAAGCTATTGATGATGAAGGAACAATTGGTGCCTATAATTAGTATTCTGTACCAGAGTGCAAACTCTTCTACAGCAAATGGTAAAACCATTACAGGTTTTCAAAGGCTTCACCACTTTCAATATTGCTGGGCATCCTTTGCATGATTTTTACAGGCTAGGCTGCTTATCAGAATGTAAGATTAAGGATTTAAAATTTTATATTTGAGTACTTAAGATTGAGCTTGAAATCTCACAGCCGTGGCCACAGCCGTAGCCGTGTTCTTGGAGATATTTGCAGCCGCCCCGGCCCACAGCCGTGGGGCTGCAGCCAGCCGCGGCTGCAGCCGGCCGGTGCAGACCTCTAATGGGCAGCTTGGTACTTGAATTTCCAAATGAATGTTTAACTCTGTGTTCAGCCAGTAGGAAATTTAAATGAATCAGCGCACGCCTACACAGAACTTCTCCGTTCATTGTACATATTTCCAGTGGATGCAACATGTAACAAATGGGGTGCCTACATAAGAGATAATGGAACTTTCCCACAGCAGCGCATTAGCCCCGCCACAGGCTAACAGAGCATCTATCGACCCAGCTGGCGCAATAACCCGGCAGTTGCTGGGGTATTTCGCCACCCACCGTTTGCTGGGGGGGGGGGGGCGTTAAACGCCCCCAGCCGATAACTCGAGAACCAATAGGCGCAGCGAAACGCACGAGGCGGCAAACGAAAGAGCGCGACGAGACGCTTCAGATGAGTATTTTAAAGTCGAATTTTGAGGTCACAGGTCAGGTCAAGGTCAGGTCAAACGCCTGAAATCGGGCTTTCAGTGGCATGGACTTCAGGACTTCGCAATGGGCGCCTCTCGCCATAAACGCTGTGAAAACGGTGCACAATCCATCTAATAAGGCCTACAAGAGTGTCAGCTCCATGTAGGGGTCAGTCAAGCATAGGTCAGGGTCAAGGTCAGGTCAACCGGGTAGGCACATATCCCCGAAAATCAAAACTGATATTCGCAGCCTGTGACACATGTTTTATGGGTAATTTGGGGCGTAGAACACGATGGTGACATTCATTTTATCATATGTGTACGTGTTTGGCTCAAAAAGTTAAATTTAAGAAATTCATGTATCATGGTCGTGAAGGAGTCACGAAAAATTGCCAAGATTCAGTTCAAGATTATGGAAAATGCGGAACGATAATCAATAATCGAAGATAGCCATTTGATTGACCATGGTATTGGCAGTCTAATGGCGTTTACGGCATGTCTATATCTCTATTCTGTGATTTTATATGATTTTTTGAACATATGCCGTTTTTGGTCGAAAACTCAGAAATCATGACGTCACTAAAACCTCGATATCTCAAAAATTTTCTGACCGATTTTTTTTAAACTTTGTCACAATAAACTTCAATCAATTCCCTACAGGTACCCAAAATTTGGCGCGCCTGCGGCGCGCCGTTTTTATGCTATGGCCCGGCGAAAAAAGTGGGGGCGTTTAACGCCCCCCCCCAGCAACTCGCGGGATAATACCGTTCTGAGTGCTGCCACAGCGGGGGCCCTTCCTTGGTCTGCTCCCGTAGCTCCGGGCCCTTGTGCAACAGTGGGAACACCGCGGGATGGCTCGAGAACTATGGCAATATGCGACTTTGGTCAATATGACTGCAACACAAAGGTAGACGAGTAAAGGAATGTCTGTCTCCGGTTTGGTGATAGAGATGATATCAGCGAAATATTTTAGATATTTTGCTGATATTGTGCCTGTATTGGCAGATTTTTATTGGTCAACGCCCATCTCGCAGCATAGATATCAAACCTATAATTTGTATAATCTTATCGTTTTGTCGTCATCGAATAATGTGTAGGAGTACCCTCTCGTTACTGAAGAAACAAAATTTAAATGCGACATAAATATGTTGTTGTTGACCGTTTGAACTTTGAATGCATCCCCATTCCCTACACACTGCAAAGACTTTGGCCGACCCTCTATGAAGATCTTTTGTCATCGTCCACTGCGCCTTGTGAATAAACACCGTAGCAGAGCAGTCATGGTAGCATCTGCAGCAGCAAGTGACTGCCGCTAAATCAACTCTACACTAGCACCATGGATGATATGGATGACATGGATGACATTCTAACGTGGCTGAAGTCAGGTCATCGCTGTTTATCGGTCTGACGTTAACTATCTTGCCGTTGTGCTGTGATAGCTGAACCTATACAGGCCCATGTCGTCCCCTATCTCCCTGTGTGTCCAAGTGCCCAGATGACGTCACACGAAGGGGCGGAGTCGGGGGCGGAGCCTGGCGCAACGGCCGCCATATTTGAATTTGTTTTATTAGAATGTGTTCTATATTTTTGGTTTCAGTCAATTGTTATCGATAGTTTTATGAACGTTTAGCTGTAATATAAGTGATTTATCAAGAAAAAACACATATTCCGCTTGCAATTTCGATTTAGGTACTACCCGCGCCTAGATTCGAACGCACGATCTTTGGATTACGGGGCAAGCGTCCTAACCACTACACTACCGCGGCGGCGTGGCGGCCGGCGGAAGGGAGGCGGCGGAGGCATGGGGGCTTTTTTATGCATTTTTGGAAAAACTAATGGGTTTAGTGAAAAACGCTTCTTAGATAATTCGAAGAAAAATGTCTCGGCTTTCCGATGATGCACTTTGTTTTGTGCTAGCTTTAGCAGACTTTGTTCTACAGCGCTTCAAAAATCGCCCATTTGCATAGGACTTGAACGGGACTTCAAGGCTTGCCCCCAGATGACGTCACGAGCTGACGTCACGATCAGGTAGAATCGCCGGACGACCCTACCTGGTATATAGGGCCTTGAACCTATAGAGCCTTGGCTGAAGCGCAATTCGTTCAAGCGGTGTGTAAAACCAAAAACATCCGTCTCCGTGATTCCAAGTGCCCTCTACTTTTATCTAGACCACGCCTCATTTGAGCCGAATGTTTTGTTTCAGAGCCGAGTGTCCAGATATATCAGAAGACGCCGACTTTCTGCACTACAAGATTTACGCCGACAGCGTCCTGTTCCGTCTCGTGAAGACCGTGTGTGACGTCACAGGTCAGTTTGTGTGTGACGTCACAGAGCCGTGGCTGCTGTGTAAATTGACTCGCACCCCAGCGTGATGTAAATGGGAGATGTCAGGACGATTAGAGACCGTCATCGTCATTGAGACCAAAGAGAGTCATCTGTTTAATGGTCCGCACCAAAGCGTTGCCTTTCTTTGTCGATAAGTAGAAGCCTTAATTGGTGCAGTGCAGATGAAAGAGACATCCTGGACCATTACTTGGATTGGCTAGCGTCAGATGCTGACGCCAATGCTGAATAGCTGAATGTGAATAGCTGCCTTTTGCAATGTGGGCCGCAGAAATGAGCAAAAACGACACCGCCGCTGCTCAGTGTAACTCGTCAGATAGAAAGTACGCAATGCGACGTGAGATAGGCCCTGTCGATGTAGCTTGGATGATTATTCGTCATATCAACACTTCCCAATATCAGTGAATAAGAGTAGGGATAAAATATCTGTCAGTGACCCTTTGTTTGACAGGTCGGTCAGCGGACGACATCCTCCACTGCACCGGTCAGCACTTTCTTCCGTTTGCCGTCGATATTGGCTTCGGCGACATTATGAGGGGCATCGGCCAGACCTTCGAGGCCTTCCTGCAAAATATCGATTACCTGCACTGGTATGAACAGAGCTTTATAGCCATGGTATGGTCACTAGCGCTTCAGGTCAGGGGGTTCTCAGTATTGGACCGTCTGCGTGGCTTTACTTCATCGTACCTACCCTTTACGTAACCTACAACTGTGGTTGTAATAAAGGCACAGGTAGATTTGAGCTACTGCCATGACTGGGCTGTTACCTTGAAAATCAAGCGTGTGTTGTGTTTGTGCCATTTTTGCTGTTCCGTATCATTACATGGTTTGACAAATATTTTTCAAAACAAAACTTTGAGGGAAACATGCCAAATATACCTATGTAGTTAAAAAAAAAGACATAAAGTAAAAAGATAAACATATGCAATATGTTTAATAGAAAATGGTGAATTTGAGCCTCATCTTTGACGTGCCAGTTTCAAACATTTATTGGCTGCACGGCTTTGTGTCCCGTAATTCGTGCTACCAAGTTCATTGGTTTTTCTCAAACCATTATATTCCCAATCTCCCCTCGAAGAACACAAAACCGGTAATGTGCCTGAAAATGTGCAAACTAGCCCCGTTCGAGTATAGATGCGGTCCCGTCATTCCATGCAAAATGAAATGAACGATTGCTTAGCCTATACCATGGCCCGTCGGTTAAAAGGGCGCTTTATCATTGAGTCAGCTTGTATGAGGTAGTGTTCACTCATCACTGAAATCGCTGTGGACCTAGAAATGTATAGGTGTGCTGATCTTTTGTCTTTGCGTAAAAAATAATGCGGCCTGCCCACACATTTTCGCACTTCAGCGGCCAGTGGTAAAGGTTAGAGCCATTACACGGTGAGCTTTGCTTAGCGTGCGTTCTGACGTCATACATCCACCCCTTCAATGCTTCATCGCCCTAAAGTAAATGAAACGTCAGCCCACATTGAAACAACTATTAGATATTTTAGCTTTTAAGCAATTAGATGTGACACGTTCAGCTCGGATTGGATAGAGCTTCTATACAGTGGTGAAATGTTATTAGATTAGAAGTGACGGGTGGAGCTAGAACATTTTCTCAAATCATCCGCTTGTAAGAGGACTGAGCATTGAGCAATGAGCAGCCCTGTCGGACCATTCATTGACGAGATGATGAAGAGGGAAAGAAGTTCACTGTATGAGACAAGTTAACTTTGCAGGATGAATAAGATAAATTATCCGATAAACTAACCCGCGCGTGACTGGGGGAAGGGGGGTACATAGCCCCCTTCCGTTTTTGGCAACATTTTCCAAACCGTTCGATGCATCGACATGAAACTTACAGTACCTTCAGCAGCATCAATTTGACACCTCGTATCTAAATTTCAATTTTCTAGCTACCATAGGTCGGCTGAAAATGACGTCAGAGTGGCGTCATGTCGGCCGATTTTATGCAAGACATTGAACTACGACAATCGCTTTCAAGAGGTCGATTTTTAGGCTACATCTCATTTCTTTGCATGAGTGGACTGGAAATAAACGTGGCTATCAAACTCCTATATCGGGTTGTCTAAAAAAAGCGAAAAATATACCTATTTCATTACAAAAAGATAAAAGATATCTTTTTTATTTTTTCTCAAAAAGTTTTGACTTTTTGTAAAAAGAAACGGAATATATGTAATAAAACGCCCACCGATGACCTACTCTAGCAAGTTTTAGTTCAGTATCTTTACAAATGGTCAAGTTATACGCATTACCGTCAAAATTTCACAATCATGGATTTTTCAAATCAATTTTTCAGTGCATTTTTGACATCGTAGAGCAATATAAATAGCACCATCGCATGTTCTTCAGCTCCAAGTGCATGTGATAGCACCTTTTTATTTGACAAATTCATTTTCAAGATTTGACCTTTTTACAGATACAGATACAGATAGTTTATTCGGATCCTCCATAAGATGGATTTTCTGGTACCCACGTCAGTTACATAATATGCAAAAGTACACCACAATGCTACAATAAAACAGTTAAAATAGATCATACCTATTACATCATAAAATGTCGACTCCGTACGCTACCAATGTATCACATGAAACTGAATAAACTTTTGAAACTTTTGACCAGCCAGTGACCTGACCTCAGCTAATTCGGTTGAAAATGACCTCAAATAACACAGACGGCACTGTTTTCGAAATCTATGATTAAAATTTACCATATTATATGTGTCACGTGACCGATACATGATATAAAATTTTCGTGACCTAGGATGACCTGGCCTTGACCTGAAAAATTAGAAATACAAGTTTGTTACCCCCAGGGTATGTACGGCATATGTATATCAACGGAAGTGTAAACCAAAAATGAGCCTGGGCTGATCCGACGTCAGTTAGCCGGCGGCCAGAGCCGAAATTGTGAAAAAGGCAAAATGTTTATAATTATTGCTTTGACCTGAACTGTGACGTTATCAGTGACCTCGAGGTCAATGAAATCAGGCTGCGCATGACAGTTTTTTAGGGCTGTCAGCCGCCGTTTGAATTTTGACAGTCGGCCCGGTATTTCCGGAAATAGGAGAGGGGCTATGTAGAGCCCCCCCCCCGTCACCCGCGTTATGGAAAATGCCACAGTCATGCGCTGCGCGGGTTAAATTGCTTTTGTCTGATGTGCTCACCGCCGGCCGTTGCCGTCGATTGCAATCAATAGCTGATGCAGTCGCTAAGTGAATGCAAGGTGGCACCTGCCGAAGGAGTTCCACCGGTAGAATTGTTATCCGGGGCAGGGGCTCATTAGCAGCTCTATAGTCTAAAGCGGGGATTGCTATGCAATATGACCGCTAATTAGAACGAAAGCCGCCCGTTACTGGGTAGGGTAAGTACCCGGTGACCGGTCGCCTTTTCATCCTTTATAGTCGCCAGTGTTTGATGCTAAATCAGTTCCCAGTGAGTGGGTGCAGAAGCCATCAGTGGAAAGCTTTGATTTGTTTATGACTGTGGTTGTTGGGGAGTGAGGAAGATACAATTGGTCACATCTTTTAGGGCTGCAAAACTGCCCACAGCAAACTTCCATACCTCATTTCAATGAAACGACTGGTGGCATTTAAACTTTGGAAGGGCCATCAGATTTAGTTCCGAAGTAGGTACCACACTTTTTGGTTAGTACTTAGTAGGCACGAACAATAAATATGTAGATGCCGGAGGAACTACCGGGTCTATGTAGGTTTTACATTATATATTTAATTATATATGCCCTTGGGTACATCGGCACCAGCGCAATCGCGTAATTGCCTGGTGATCTGCTCAGTGCTAAATGTGACAGTGATTTTCTGCTGTAACACCCGATAGAGGCTGTAGCATTACTAATTACAGCCTCCGACAGTGAATGACCCATGGAGCCTGCGGCTGCTCTCATATATTGCCTACCCTTTGATAGGGTATTCAGGGTACACATAAGCCGATCAAGTGACGGTAATCGGATATATATGGGAAGGCCTGGGAACATGAACGTCATATATACGGACCACGGACCAGCGAGCAATATTCTCACACACCGTTCCGTGCTTCTATCCTCAGGATACTGAAATCCTTCTCCTCCACGCCGCAACCTCCCTCCGGGCTGGACAGGCAATTTATGTCATGCGGGCTGCTCCCTTGGAGCGGCACCGCTGCTCCCGAGGGAGTGCACCCCGTAGCCGGGTGCAGTGAGTGCCTTGGGGCTGGGTGACCTGTCCTCTGGACGGACTCAGCCCCGGCGACTCACTAGGGTGCCTGCCCAGACCAATGTCTCCCCCCTATATCCTATCATCCTCCCGGCTCTGAAATGGTCTCATTGGACCGAAAGGGCCTAACCCAACAAAACAAAAACAAAAAAGCAATATTCGTGACGCCGCGTGTAGATCTCTTCTCTAAACCTTTGACAGTGCTTAGGCTAGTTACTTTATTGCATCACAATAGTTAAGTACGTTTGCTGTTCTTGACTTTTGTGCATATTGCATAAACCAACGCGGATGTCGCCGTTTGCACCATAACATACTGTCTGGTGCTAACACCTACAGCTCATTTTTCAAACCACAGTCTCTCCCTCCTCCCGCCAGGTATCTGATGAGCACGGCGTTTTCGGGCATACAGTCGCCGTCGTTCCGGCCGGAGCTGACCTCTGACCGGGAGGGGGACGCCGTCACACTCAACTACTACTCACGGAGGGACTGCTGCAGCGGTATTGTCACAGGTGGGCGGCGGTGTCGCTCAATATTTATTGGGTTGTGTTGTCACTCGCCTCAGCTGTGTCTTGCTTACGAGAGAGTAAAAAAGAGAAATCGTACAAAAGAGGCGGGCATATCCTTAGTCAGCAATATCATGCCGTTACATGTATAGAGGTGTGGTTAAGAAAGCACTTAGGAGTCGTACAGCTAGCTTATTTCTCCTGTTACGTCTGGGAGATAATCCGTTGTTTGGTGTGCTTCACGCATTCTGTGTGCTAGGCTCGGTCCGTGCTCACGTTCGCATGTTTATTGGCTATTGCTATGCTAAAAGATGAATTGATCCGTAGGCCTTATTGGCATCCGTAGGCATTTACGGTACAATCATGACCGTTGACTAACTTCCTTCACTGATCTATGGCCTCTCATATACCTCTGTGGCCTCTCATTTCTTGTCACAGGCCTTCTGACCATGGTGGCCAGGTGTATCTTCAACATCCACATCGACATCACCAAGCTGAGCGTGCAGAAGGAGATGGTGTCCAACCGGCCCATGGTGCACGTCCGATTCAGGTGGGGGAGGGGAGGGAAGGAAGGACCAATCGGTCACACAGCAGATGAAGAGAGTGGCATGCTCCATTGTTCATGCCCAGTCAACCCGGTTTTACGCTATACGGTCAAATACATCGACTGATGCAGCTATATACATAAGCATTGCAAGCATAAATATAGCTGCATATAGTGTAGTGTTCGCTATGGCAGTTGTTTAGTGCTTTTCACATGACCTCACGTGACTCCGCCATTTTGTGTAAAATAGAGTTTACGTTCCACCTGGCCATTGTATACAACAGATATCAGTTCGGATTCCATAACACTACATTTTGGCGACTAAGCACGAGATAAGTGCGGACTCTAGTGAAATCGCGTGTCGCGAGTTTCCGTGTAAACTTTTTTTTTGTGTTTCGGCCCGCGGTACGGCCATGAGCGGCGACAGTGGACCGCCCCTACCCGCGCCGTTTTTGCCCCATCCCGGGACGCCGGCCGTCCCGTGGAGGAACTGGGAACAAAAATTCGAACTTTATCTGTTGGCCAGGTGCGGCACGAGCCCCCTGCCCCCCGAGCAGCGGCGCGCTCTGCTTCTGTGCGCGATCGGTGACGAGGCGTACCGGGTGTTCGACACCCTGCCGCCGGTCGCGAAACGTGACGGCGAGGACGACTACGACGTCACCCTCCGCCAGCTCCGGGAGTTCTACACTCCCCGGACCAACGTCATCGTGGAACGATTCCGGTTCCGACAGCGAGCCCAGGCCCCCACAGAGTCCACAGCAGACTTCGTTGCTGCTCTGCGCGGCCTGGCTCGCACCTGCCAGTTCGGCGCAATGGAGTCGGAACTCATCCGGGACGTGGTGGTGGAGAAGACCCCCCACCAGCGCCTGAGGGAGCGACTCCTTCAGGACAGGGACCTCACTCTGGACAAGGTCCTGAGCGTCGCAGAGACCTATGAGGACTCCCTGCGGGAGGCTGCAGCCATCTCCCAACCAGTTGCAGCCCCACCGGCCTCATCTGTGGCAAAAGTTACGAGGAAGCCACAACAGAAGCGACAGCAGCAGCAGCAGCAGAGCTCCAGCAGCGACTTCTGCACCAACTGCGGACGTGATGATCACGCACCCAGGGATGCTGCCTGTCCAGCCCGCAGAGTGACCTGCCACTCCTGCGGAAAGAAGGGCCACTTCGCCAGCTGGTGCAGAGGCGGCAGTGGAGCAACCCCAGCAAGGCCAGCTCAACGACAGCACCACAAGGCAGTGAAGGAGCTGAATGTGCTCTCCTGTGCTGCCACCACTGGGTCACGCCTCACCTGTACCGTCCAGGTGACTGCAGGTGACGTCACACAGGAGGTACCCCTCCAGGTGGACACGGGTGCCACCTGCTCACTCCTGAGTGTAAACCGTGCCAAGGAGCTGTTCAGAGGCGTGGCGTTCAGCCCCTCCAGCTCACGGCTCTGCCCGTCCTGCCACGCAAAGGACGCCGTGCTGACGCAGCAGGCGCGCCCCGCGCCGCTGCAACCGGTCGAGCTTCCAGACCGGCCCTGGTCTAAGCTCGGACTGGACATCGTGGGCCCGATCCCCGGCGCCCCACCGTCTGCAAAGTACGCCATTACTATGACGGATTACCATAGTAAGTGGCCAGAGGTCGCTCTGACGTCATCCATCGAGACTGATGACGTCATCCAGTTCCTGAGCCAGGCCTGGTCCAGAGAGGGACTGTGTGACGAGCTGGTGACCGACAACGGACCCCAGTTCACCAGCGACAGGTTCCGACAGTATCTGGCCCAGCGCGGTATCAGACACCACACGTCTGCCGTCTACTGGCCGCGCGGAAACGGAGCAGTGGAGCGGCTCAACCGAGAGGTGAAGGTGTGGCTCAAGGAGGCCACACAGCTGCAGTCGCGGACGGCCGCCAGCTTCAGCGGACACGTGCGACAGCGCCTCGCTCTGTACCGAGCGACCCCGCACTGCACCACCGGCCAGTCACCCTCGGCGCTCCTGCACGGCCGGCGCATGCGTCTGCACCTGCCGGTCACCACAGAGACTCCGCCGCGCGACAGCTCGCTACAGCACCGAGTCGCTACCCAGCAGCAGCGCAACAGCCGCGGGTACGACTCGCGACAGGCCACCCGGCCGTCAGATCTCCAGCCTGGCGACACGGTGCGCGTGCGGCGACAGGGGCACGTGCCCAAGAACCAGAGTCGGTTCTCCAGCCCGCGCCGAATCGCCAGACAGCTCGGCCCGGCGACCTTCATCCTGTCCGACGGGACAAAGAGGAACGCTGCACACCTCGCCCGCATCCCAGACGCGGCGCCGACCGGCTCAGCACCTCCGAGCACCGACGGGCCGGAACCGCCGCCGCCGCCGCCGCCGGCCGACCCGGCTCCTCTGAGCTCCGGCGAGCCCCAGCTGCCATCTCTGCAGCCGACAGCGTCCACCGCGCCACCTACAGCGCCGACAGAGAGCGCCCGCCCGTCAGATGTCGCTGACGTCGCGCTGCCGGCCGCCACCGGCGCTGCTCGCGACCGGTCCCCCGGTGGGCCGCGCCCGCCTCAGAGGGCGCCCGTCGGCGGCACCCCGCGCCGTGAGTTGCCGGCCTCCTCCCGAGGACGCCGCCGATTCTTGCCGCGCCGATTTACGTGATCGGCGAGAAGTGTAACTTCAAGGGCCGGCGGGTGTAGTGTTCGCTATGGCAGTTGTTTAGTGCTTTTCACATGACCTCACGTGACTCCGCCATTTTGTGTAAAATAGAGTTTACGTTCCACCTGGCCATTGTATACAACAGATATCAGTTCGGATTCCATAACACTACATATAGCAGCTATATAAGCATGCTATATAAGCATTGTAGCGCTTAAATTACACAATACACGTAATTCACGGCTGTAATATCTATGCATGGTAGCACCTTCTTGCTCAAACACGCCTCTTCACCTGACTTGTCGAATTTTTGCCCACTTTCAGAATAACACAGCATCCAATCGGTCTGCCTCACATAGGACTGAACTGGAAGAAAAGATGGAACTTGTCCAAGTTGAACTCCAACCACAAAAACACAGGAATGTCTGTCGCAGCAAAGCTGTTCGGAAAGATTCATCCATATCACATTGTTTTTGATAGGTGAGTAGCGAGTCTTTAAAAAAATAACACTTTTGGGGGGGGGGGGGGTGTCTCAACTGCTGAGAGCTGACGTTATTCTGTACCTGCAGAAGGCTGGTGATCCTGCAGACGGGGGTCGGCCTGATGAAGCACGTGCCAGAGACGCAGGCGGACGGAGCGCGGATCGACACCATCTTCTCAATGACCTGGCCAGAGGTGTCACTGACCGTGCAGAATATAGAGAGGTTCTCAAACCTGACCTTTCAGTTCGAATACCGAAAGGCGTCCGATAAACGCTTCTTCTGTATGAAAGGTGAGAAAACATGTAGTTGAAGAGAAAAATAACGATCAGTCAGGCTAGGTGCATAGGCAGTAGTGGCGGAACACCTTCAATTAAAGGGGGGGGGGACTGCCGACTTTTGGTCCCATTCTTTCCATGCAACGCCCATAGGGCTAATGTTAAAATGCCAAAATCAAAGGGGGGCACGGTGCCCCGGTGCCCTCCCCGTTCCGCCGCCTATGTGCATAGGTGGGCGTTTTCAACTCAGAATTTAATTTGTGATTCGGTAATACGGCTAAAATTTATCGAAAGATCTCAATTATTGCACAATAAATTAGACATCCACGTACGCTAGAAATTGATAGCCAGTCTCTTCCGATGTTGATTGAACCGTCCAGCCTGTATTTTTTTTTTTTTTCAGGTACTGTAGTGGGTATGACGGCCAGCGCCGAAGCTCACCCTGCCGAGCTGGCGGACGCCCCTCTCTTTCTCTACCTGGGATCGCCTATGGCACGCAGTGTGCGAGATCTGGAGAAAATGTCGCTAAAAATCTCTGATATCCCCAGTCATGATTCGACGAGAGATCTCATACTTCTCAAGGACCAACGCAACATTGAGTTTGACGTGATGTGAGTTTGAAAATCTGCTGTGGATTGCACGGTTTTAAGAAAGTAGCGGACCATGTGTTCAACATTATGCGAGATAACTAATGCCTCGTATGTCATGTTTATACGCAACTTCGGATGAATATGAAACTTGTTGATATAATGCGAGAAAAACCATCCGGTGATCCGGTGATGACCTGACCCGGCGCTTACCTAGTCTAAATCAGTTGTGACCTGACCTGACACATTACTGACCTGACCTGACCCGTTACTGACCTGACCTGACCCCTCTCCGCAGGCAACAGCTAGAAAAGACCACCTCTGAACTAGCCGGCACGGCGGCAGCCCTTCAGAAGGAAATGCGACACACAGATGAACTTCTTCACTCAATGATCCCGCCTCTAGTAGCGGAGAAGTTGAAACGGAACGAGCCAGTGCAGGAGACGTTCGACGAGGTTACAAGTAAGTACCGGGGATATTGGAGCCTGGGGTGGGTGTGAAGGGAGATGGTATTGGTGATACTCGTGCTAGTGCCAACGGTGACGGTGGCGTTGGTGATGGCGATGGTGTGGTGGTGGCTGGTGACGGTGGTTGTGTCGGTGGTGGATGGTGATGTTGTCGGTGACCGTGATGGTTTTGACCCATAAATAAAAGGTTTGTTGCTTTGTACACTTCCTTTCCACAAATCCTTCCTTGAGTTGAGACCGATTAAATGCGTTATTGTTTTTTTTGCAATTTCATTTAAATGTAAAATATTACATAGAAATTCATACCATATCATATTATATGAGAATTTTATCACAATTAGGCCTGACACACTGTTGATAGCTCAATAGAAGCTCTCGCTGGAATATGGCACAGGAAAAACTATATCATGCTCTCACAAAAAAACCTTCTCTCCGCCCCGCCCTGCACTGCGCTGCAGCTGCCCTCGTGCTCTGGTGGAGCCACGCGCCTGCTATCACCCCCCCCCTCCCCTCCCCTCTGTCCACCGCGGCGCCCGGGCCAGCCACGGGGAACCGAGGGTAACGGTGGGTATTCCCCGAAACCACCGGTCGCAGCCGCCCGCTGCTGCCAGTGTTGACACTGGGTGACCGGCCATTGGCTGAGCGGACAACGTGCCCGTATCAGGGAGCTGTCCTCACTCTAAAATGGCGGCCGGAGCGTGGCTTTGGTTGAATGATCTGAAAAGTTTTAGAGGGTCAAGCCAACAAGTACTGAGTTTTTTAGTCACTATAAATAGAAATGCGTTGATGGTTTTGGAAAATATTAAGTGATTGTGTTTTTCCGTCTCTAGAGAGACAAGAGAGAACGCGAAATTTGACGCGGAACATATTCCTTTTGCCAAAGAACGAAGCCATATGACTAGAGGAGCTCAATGACAAACTCAACGCTAATTAATATCCCAGCATTCGTTGCATTCTGAAACGTTCATAAAAACGTTAAACCAACTTTATGGCAGGAACTGTGTGACCAATTATGGCATTTTTGTCAAGTTTCGATGTAGAAATAACGCAGCATAAGATAATAGCATGAATACTAGCATGAGATAAGCATGAGGCGATGCATGGTGATTGGTGATATCGCAAGCAGCTTTGTAGATAGGTATGTCAAATTTTTTGTGGTCGTAGGGGTTGTAAGGCTTTCTTCATCTAATGCAGGTTCAAATGAATTTAACTTTTTGCAATTTTGACAAGACACTAAGCTTCTATATTGAAAAAATTTAAACCCGTTTTTCGAAATCCGTCACTCTTTTCCCGATATCATCCACCGCTAAAGGCCGATGAAAACGTTTGGGCCATCTGAGTGTGCAGTTTCGCTTAGCTCTTCACACAAATGCCATAAAACGAGGTAAACCCTCGTCTCGTTGCGTGGTATTCTTCTTTTTGCAAAATCGAGAATAACTCGAAGACTTTGTTATCGCCTATCGGTCACGCGGAAATCGTAACGCTAAGACGCACGGGGCTTTGCACCTCAGATTGGGCTCAGCATGGTGTACGGCCCTCCAGCAAAAGAGTGGTTTGTTAGCCTATGTGCTTTTGGTGTAATAACTTTAAATGACAGAGACACTCCTGTAAAATGACTCAATAGAAATGAGAAGAGGGTTCGTGCACACATTTCGGCAGTGGTTTTCAACAGCCATTAGAAGTATTTATCAATGCAGATCGATTATTGTGATGTTGGCAGCCAACCACTTAACCCTCGCCCGCACATGGGGGGGGGGGGTGGTTGCCACCAGTGGCGTATCCAGGATCTTGGAAAGGGGGAGGCCAAACCTGCTCGAGGGGGCCCCATCCTTACCTTAAGGGCCCCAGTAGTATAGCGTACTTAACTCACGCCCAGGTGCGGTTCTTTGCCACTTTTGCCATGTGAGGGAGCCTTTTTAGGCACACTCGGCAATCTAAAAAAGAATAAATGTTGAAACGTGAAAAAGGCATCGATATCGATAGCTCTGTAGCGTACAATTTATTTCAGCAGTAGGCATTTTTTTTTTTGCTTTGGTCGTCGCTTGGGTCACTAAAGATCATCGAAAGCAAAATGTCTTTCCCATTTTTTTTTTTAAAGATTGTAACATTTTTCGAAGGGCAGATGTCAGTCTCTTAGTGTCTTGCGCTGGTTGAGGGCTGGTACCCCATAACTTTAGAAGGGCCCGACTCGGTTTGAGCTCTGATCTAGACTCTGATGGCTCTATGTCGCCCACATTGGCCTCACTCCGACCTCTGAAGGCTCATCCTGGCCTCTGAAAGCCCCACACCGGCAACAGAGTGAACCACGCTGGCCTCCAGGCCCCATAATGGCCTCAGGAGACCCATGCTATGGCTGACCTCACAGGGCCCCCCGCTAGCTCTTGGGAGCCTTTGAGTCAGGCTCTGATGTCCCTATGCCGCTCTCGAACCCACGCCGGTCTCTAGAAGCCCACGATGTCCCCTGAGGGTCCCACGCATAAGGGCCACCCCTACCTTAGGGCCTCAGGGGTCCCAAACATGCATAAGGTCTGAAGAGTGGCTGCCGAGGCCCTCGAGGTGGTCTCTAATGGCCCGACGCCAGCCTATGAAGGCCCGCGCTGGCTTCTGAGGGCCAAGCACCAGCCTCTCAAGTCTGGAGTCAGATGACAGATGGCCCCACGCTGGCTTCAGAGGGTTCACGCTGGTCACAGAGGGCCCCACACTTGCCCAAAAGGGCTCCACATTGTCTTCAGAGGACCCCAAGCTGGTCTCCGTGGCCAATGGACCTCAATCTGACATAAGAAGGTCCCATGTCTCTGGGATTAAAAGACCCAATGCTGGACATCGACGGCCCCACGCTGGACATAGAGGGTCCCACACTGGCCTTAGAAGGCCCCACAATGGCCTTAGAGTGTCCCACGCTGGCCTTAGAGGGCTGAGCGCTGGCTCCTTAGGGCTCTACGCCAGCGTCAAAGGTTCCCACGCTCAAATCTAAGCTTTTTTATGGCCGCCAAAGCGACCTCTGAGGGCTCCACGTTAGCCTCTGGGGGCTCAGCATTGGCCTCTAAGGGCCCTACGCTGGCCTATGAGGGCCATCAAATGGCATTTTAAGATAGTTTGACGCAGTTTGACCCTGAAAGTTACTGGTGGCCCTTCATAGGCCGGCAAGGGACCCTCAGAGGCCGGGAGGCCCTCAGAGTCGCTGGTAAGTGGTCGTCAGATGCGCTGGCCTAGGGCCCTCGGAGGCGCCAAAGGCGCCTCAGAGCCACCGAAGTAGGCCCTTAAGAGGCACTGGTGTGGGACCCTTAGAGGTGGCAGTGAAGGCCTTCAGAAACTGGTGTGGACCGTGGGGCCATAACAAACGGGTATGGGGTCCTTACAGCTGATCCCTGATTGACCGGCAAGGTCCCTCAGAACCCGGCGTGGGGCCCTTCTGGAGATAAGTGTGACTACACAAGAGACCATGGGGTGTTCTCACAAGCCCTGTGGTGTCCTTTCCAGTTGAAGCGTGGCCAGCGCGAACCCTCTGCTGCCAACTGGCACCGCAGGGTCCCTCGGGCCCGAGGGGGCCCTAAACCTTATAACGGACATGTACCCCTCGCCCCTGGCTATGCCGTTGAATCCAAGTGATCAGGGGCTGTTCAGGTGATCAGGGGCCTATCAGGTGACCAGGGGCCTTTCAATTGACCAGGGGCCCACCAGGTGACCAGGGGACCTTCTGATAACCGGGGGCCGGTTATACCAGGGGCTCCACGGGTGCCTAAATGCCTTCATGTGACTGCAGGGGCCCTTCATATAACCAGGTAATCCCCGGGTAAACATGGCCCCTTGGGCGACCAGGGTTTCTTCAGGACACTGGCCAGGGGCCACCCAAGGGATCAGAGACCCCTCAGGTAGCTGGGGGTCCCTTAGATAACCAGGGGCCCCTCAGGTAACCAGGGGCCCCTCAGATAACCAGGGGGTCTCAGGTAATTACGGGCCCCTTAGGTAATCAGGGGGCCCTCAGATAACCAGGGGCCCCTTAGGTAACGCAGGGGCCCCTCCGATAGCCAGGGCCCCTCAGGTAACCAGGACTCCTTCAGATAACCACGGGCCCCTCAGGTAACCAGGGCCCCCTCAGATAACCAGGGGCCCCTCAGACAACCAGGGGCCTGTCAGATAACCAGGGGCCCCTTAGGTAGCCAAGGGCCCCTCAGATAACCAGGGGCCCCTCAAGTGACCAGGGGCCCCTCGGGGCCCCCGTGGCCCCCCTTGGGTACGTCACTGCACTCAAGTGACCCTAAGGGCCCACTTGCATGTTTGATGCCAAAGGGGGAGGCCATGGCCTCTTGGCCTCCCCCCTGGATACGCCACTGGTTGCCACCCCCCAGGTAGTCTTTCTGCTCTGCACTCAACATTTTTAGAGCTAGAAGGCTGATTTTTCGTATAGCTGCTCCTCTATCCTTTCTTGATGTCCACTGAAAATTTCAAGTTTCTGTGATTTTTGGTTTCGGAGATATGACCTTGTTTTTCAGGTCATGTCATGACCCAAATGGCCAATTCTCAACATCTTGCGTTTGCCATGGGCCTTATGAGCTTTTGACACCCTGATTTCGGCCTTTTTTGCCAGTCTTACCTCCCACCTATCATGGAACATGTTGTTCGACGATGTACAGGGGTCAAGGTCAGGGTCAAGGTCAACCTAGGTCATCTAAGGTAATTGCGTTCTAGGCAAGCTGAATTTACTTTTTTTGAAGTTTTTTGACTGCATTTTTGGTAAAAGCTTCTCAGATCATGATTTCATGTAATATGGACCCAAAAACAATCGGTGCACACATCAGTATACACACAGACACGCACAGACATACAAACACATATAATTGACCTTGACCTAACTTGACCAGAAATGACCTCAGCAACAAAATTCTGGTCGGGTAGTGTGACAAAGAGGTTCTAGCTGGCTTGGCACCAGAAAACAGCATCGTCATCGGTATTTGATAAGCAGCACACTTGATATCCAACGGTGACCCAAAACAG